CTCACCTGCGGCTTGGTGAGGCCTTGTGCTCGCCCAGTGAAGCCTGTCGGAGGTCACTGTATTTCCAGACTTATTCGCAAATTTGTATGCATATGGATGTTTTGTTGTTGCAACGAAAAAATAATCAGGTGCTTGTGAAGCTATTGCAGTGCTCTGCTTTATAATATAATCACAAAGACAGCCTATACTGTACATCCCAATTAGAAAGACTGTAGATTTTTGTTTTGATGTGCTTTAGTTATATGAGCAATATTTTCAATCTTGTGTTTTGGCCTTGTCCTTGGCCCAGGGTAAAGACCCTACAATAATCCATGTGTCTTTGTACAACTTTACAGAAATACAAATATTAAATGCAGTCATCATAGGCATGAAAGTCATGGTATTTTTGATTTCTTGGTACTGTCCTATATCCAGGATATAAGGATTATACTGCCAACATCTTAATAAAACAAATGCAAAAGTTGGACTTTATTTCGGATTTTCTCTAATCTACACAGATTCCTGGCTTTTAAGCTTAGTCCACAGGATCATCAGCTCAAACAACATAAGTACACGTTTTTTGTGATGTGTCAACACTTTGCCAAGGTCTGGAAGAAGACTGAAATGGTCACCCTTAGATGAGAAGAAGTTAGTTAGCATATTCAGGAATCCCAGGATCCGAGAAGGCTCAAGGCCTGCCATGAACTGTAAACTGCTGGAACACCAGTATCATTGTGCACAGTGAAACCAGTTTTAATCGATTCTGGAGGCAGGTTTTATGGTTAGATGAGACAAAGATTGAGCTATTTGGCCACAATTACAAAAGTTATCTTCAGAAGAGTAAAGTTGGAGCTTTCAAGCCTAAGAACACTGTACCAACAGCAAAGCCCGATGGTGGTAGCGTCATGATCTGGGTTGTTTTGCTGCCTCTGATCCTGGTACATTGCACTAAGTGGATAGAATAATTAAATAGATTTACCTCCAATTTCTTGAATTTCACCTGAAATCAACAACTACCCAGCTGTGTCCAAAAATTTGGACACAACAGGACAGTGATCAATACATCCAAACTGGTTTTGGAATGGATGTATCAGACTAACATTAAGCTTCTGGAATGGCCATGAAAATTTATGAACTATGCTTAAAAGCCGGCTTTGTGCCTGGAAACCAATAAACTTAATTGAACTCTACCAATTCTGCCAAGAAGAGTAGTTAAATATCAAGCCAGAATTATGCCAGAATCTTGTTGATGGGCACCAAAAGTGTTGAGTGGCCCATGTACAACTTCCTATTGGATATTTAACCAAGTATTAGGGGGCCTGTACGTATACTTTTGACCCTGTGTGGATTAAGCAGAATAAAATGTCAATAAAAATGGAAGTTGTACAATATACACCCTGGAAAAGAATAGTTTAAACAAATCTTAAAGGCCCCAAATTACTGTAGCATAATGCTTAACATAATGTTTTGACACACTTCTATATTCTGTCCCCTGCTTTGTAGGGATCTGTCCACATGTCATCCATCTTTTCCATCATCTCTGCCATGTCATTTTTGAAATTTGTAAAATGAGCACAGCAAGTAAACAAACACTTGAAATTCACTTACCCCTTTAATATGCTTTGACAATGGAATGCAAGTACTAATTTCTGATTCAAGCAGTGAATGGAGGTAAATGGTAAACGGGCTGGTTCTTATGTAGTGCTTTTCAATTCCAGCTGAGCACTCAAAGCCCTTTATATAACTTGCCTCATTCACCCATTCATACAAGCATTTTCTCTAAGCTTTTCTACATAAGTGATTTCTGTCTAACATTCAAACTCAGATGAATGTATCAGAGAGCAACTTGGGTGGGGTCGGTATCTTAACCAAGGATATTTGGCAAGAAGACTGGAGCAGACAGGGATCAAACCACCACCCTTAAGATTAGTATGTGCCCTCCTGAGCCACAGCCAACCCAAATAATGGTCAGGTTAGGACAGATCTTTTTATGTCAGAATTTGGCTGCTGCTCTGTATTGGTCCATCATGGTGATTGCACCATTAGTTTCAAAGCTTTGCAAGTCAAGACTTTGATAGAACGATTTCAAAGGTAGCAGCTCTAGCGCATGACTTCAGCACTAAAAGTACTAAAAGTTGCAAATCTCAGTTTCTTGTGGATTTCTGATGTAAATTAAGTATCCATTTGGCACTGACACCCAGTAGTAATATTTCCAAGATTTTCATGTTCAAACTACCTACTGGTATCTGTTGGTGTACTGAAAGGCCATGCATATAGGTAGAAGTAAAATAGGACCCGAGGCATCTCTACGATCGATAGATAGATAGATAGATAGATAGATAGATAGATAGATAGATAGATAGATAGATAGATAGATAGATAGATAGATAGATAGATAGATAGATAGATAGATAGATAGATAGATAGATAGATAGATATGCAAATTTAACACCAACGATGAGATAATCTGTTTCACATTTGACTGTATTGCTGCTGTCTCCTGCCATCCAGTGATGTCAGGCATTTTTGCACAATGTCTCTTGTTCTTATTTATAGTATTCACAATATTCAAGTTCAAGTTCAAGTTCAACTTTATTGTCACTTCAACCATATACAGTTTAAAAATACACAGTGAGGCGAAACAACGTTCCTCCAGGAACCAAGGTGCTACAAGACAAGTTAGTGCAAAAAAAAAAATAATATATAATATATCTAGTAATAATATTGTGCAAAAGAGCATTTACAGGTTGGTGTGTGCGATGGTTTGGTGGTGTAGGTCAGTGTGTTTGCGCTTTGTGTTGGTTAGTCAGTCCAGTCTCAATGTTTTGAGGTATTTGAGTTAAGCTGAGTGATAATGTTAGTGTATGTGTGTGTGTGCGTGTTTATCAGTCAGTCCCTTTTTGCTGAGGAGACGGATGGCTTGTGGAAAAAAGCTGTTGCACAGTCTGGATGTGTGTGCCCGAATGCTTCGGTACCTTTTTCCAGATGGCAGGAGTGTAAAGAGTGTGTGAGAGGGGTGTGTCCGATCAGCCACAATGCTGGTGGCTTTGCGAATGCAGCGTGTGGTGTAGATGTCCTCAATAGAGGGTAGAGAGACCCCGATGATCTTCTCTGCTGTTCCCACTATCCGCTGTAGGGTCTTGCGGTCTGATATGGCACAGCTCCCAAACCAGACAGTGATGCAGCCGCTCAGGATGCTCTCAGTCACTGTTTTTATTCATTAAAAATAAATCTCAAAACAATTCATTGGTATGCATTGCCTAAACATTAATTACATTCAGTTTCATTCTAATTTGTATTAATTTCCCCCTGTCTCAACAGAAAAATTAATACTACCCGCTGTTCATCCCATGCAAGGCAATTCAAATTTTCATTTTTTTTTTGTCAGAGAGAACAAGAACATGAGTGAGACAATTTGCATATCAACATGACTGAATCCTAGTATTTCTTAGAAGTGGCATCTTTTGAAGACAAACATGGAGAAAAAGATAATTGTCGCACATAAACAAACTCCTCGGCTTTGTGGAAGAACTATGTTTTTCTCCTGTCCAATATTTTCAGGAATGATACGACACAACTCTACAATCATGTTTTCATTGTATGTTCTCTTATGTCTCTATGACAGCTAAAGGGGGGGGACTTTCTCCATGTTATTGAACACTGCATTGTAGTTCTATATAAAGATGCCATTAGCAGTTTGAGTGTGTAGGAGAGGCTGCAGCAGGCTGTTAATCAGAGCGTAGGGAAAGGATTAGAATGGATCTCTAATTACCTAGACTGTAATCGCCTCATATATCAACCCAGACACAAAGGCAAGATTGGAAACCTATACTAAACTATATATGAATATAATACTATCCATAGTGATGACTAGTTCATGTTAATGAGATAACGTTATGTAATTGATTTCTAAAATATCAGTAATAGTAATCAGTTACAGCTACCGAGAAAAATTAAAATGTGAAACATTACAATAAAGATATATATACAATTATGTAAAATGAAACATTCATTGAATTGCTTTGAAACTGTTTGCACTGCAGACTTTGATTGCAGATTCTATTGTTAGACAAGGACAAAAATGTTTCTCATGGCTGGAAATTCAGCAATATTTTACCTGTGAAAAATGAAAAGGGACCTGACATTATTGTGCAGAAAAAATATCAATGTGAAAATGCTCAATTTCAAAGATGTGAAAAGATGTTAATTTTATCCTATTCAGTCACGTGAACTTTTAAAAGTTCTTTATAAAGCAAAGTATAATTAATTACGAATTGATCAAACATAGAAAGTGTAATTATAATAAGAAGAGTTGCAAAGCTTATTATATTTCCTTTTTTTTAAATCGCATTTTTAATACCATATGGAAAAGAATAACAGACAAAGCTTCCAAACTCAATTTGACAAATTAATGTTATTCTTCTTTGGAGGATGCAAATTTACAAGATCGTGTTTAGAATATTTAATAGAGCAATCCTCAAAACTATTTTGTAATCCATTTAAAATGTTCTCATAAATTTAAGCTGCATGAATTTTGTTACAACTGGATCAAATGTGTAATGTAAGTGTTGCAAACAGAGTCAAACTAACAAAGAATCATTACCTTATTCTGCAATGAACTTGATCTCTGTGGAGTTAGTCATGTTAATGTTTTGGATGTCGTGTCGACTAATTTCATTTTTCAGCCACAATAAATACATAAATAAACATTTTGTTTTATATAAAGATAAGTTGTGATAAGTAATTTGCTTACCTCATGGTCAAGACTAAAAATGTAAGTTTAGAAAAGCAAAACAAAACTGTAAGATATTTAGTATAGACAGATTATTAGACACTGCCACTGTTATGTGCAACAGTTTGCTAACACATTAGCAATAGCTACCTTTACAAGGTTACAATTCATCTAGCATTGGACAAAAAATAGTAATTGTAGAATTAGCAATTAAATGATCAAAGTTTTGTAATTTTTTTAAACATACACATTAAAAAAAATGGAATTAAAAACTCTTCAAAGACAGGTGTTGTTTTACCATGTTATATTTTAATTTCTGCAGAGACAAAAATGACAAGCAATTTATTTACACAAACCTGTACAAAAGCAAATTAAATTATGTAAAATATCTCATAAATAGAAGTGGACTTGCGTTCAATACACTTTGCCATGTTCAGCTAAGCTGCGTGCATAGTGACTCATATTAAACGATGATAAATTTGTTCCTTGATTTCTATATCAACATCCAAGTCGCAGGACAAATAGTAATGGTTAATATTACAAATCTCATTACACATTGTGAATGCTATACGTATAGAACAGAGCACAGACTGAACACATACCTCAGGTAGCAACAAAGAGAATTTCAACATAAATCCCACCTGCTATTGTCCAGATTTTTGTACCACTACCCCAAATAAAAACAGTCTATCACCACTCAAAGATTATATGGTGTTGACTGTGCTTCTGCTTTCATTTCTGCTTCTTTTTCAGACACTTGCTCTACAGAGACTTTGTTTTCATTTTATCTGATCTCGAAATGCAAGGCATCACCTTGCAACACCATAGCGAACCCTGTACCGTGCTTAGTTGTAGGACAGGGTTTCATCATCTGCTGATATGCATACACTGTAAATCTTTCTGTACGAGTGTTGTGTTGCATGGCACATCCTGAGGTGTGTGTTCTGTCAGCCACTCTACCTTGCAGCTTTTTCCCTCCACACTTCCATTCCTAGTAAACCGTCACATTAGCATTTTTATCTCTAGGCTCCCTCAACTCTGAGCAGTCAAATGTCTCCAAGCATTTTTTTTAAATTTCTTTTTCCTGCTCTCTATCCTGCTAAGCTTCTAAAATCAGTCCTAGAGCTTGTTTCATGCACAAAGAAGGTTACTTGACCTCGGATGTCACACATGTACATGAGTGGAACACGACAAAAAAATCCATTATATCGTTATTATTTCTACCAACAAGCAACTTTTGAATGTACCCGCACTCATTCGGTAATGCACTAAGCTAGGAATGGATATTTCAACAAGGTAATTGAACCCAAAGAGCAATAGCCGTTTGACTATTAGACCTACAGGCTCACTGACATTTGACTGGTCGTCCTTCAACAAGCCTTTGACATCATGGGATTTCATCTAAGATATGCAAATGTATTTCAGTCCTTAAATGCCACCCCATCTATTTTTGTGTTGCATGTCAACGTAATTGTTTATGCACCATTCCAAACCAACATTTAATCATACCGATTGGTATAAAAAGGCACAATTGCATATTTGCATTCACTCTAGTTTTTTTTTTTTTTTTTTATGTTTCTTTTTTTTTCCTTTTTTTTCCTTTTTTTTTCACTCTAAATATACAAAGTGGCACCAGGTAAAGAAAAAACACATAGTATACTGATGATCATTTTCACGGCTTTTGACTGTTATTGTGAAACAATATCTGTGAGTTTAAAAAAATCAAATAAAAAAGGAGTATTTTTTAAAAAAAGCAATCAAAAGCTTCAGGTAAAAAGTTGATGAAAAAGAAAACATATGAAAGATATGGGTTTTTGTTGTAGCACGAGGTGAAACAATAATGAAAATTAAGCATGAAAAATGCATGGAGGGGGTAAAATAAATCCACAGCATAGTCCAAATCGATGTACTAAGTTGTCCTACGTAACTCGTGTTTTTAGGTATAACAAAAGCAAAAACGATGAATTTCTGTGTTTACAGGGATAACATTTTTTTTGTACATTTTGTTTTACAGTTTTTTTTCTTCTTCCTTCTCAGTAAGTGAAGTAAGTTCCCATTAAACGTGCAGTAAAAAGTAAGTATTTATGTATACAGTTGATAAGTATAGGAGCACTTTCTTTCAAACAACGAGTAGTACTTACAGACTATAGATTACCGGAAATGCAAGAAAAAGCATCTCCGGTCAAACCAAAGGGGTTTTGCTAACATACAAAAAGTTCCATTGCATCTTTTGCTTTATTACAGTCATGAGATTTTGCACCTCTGTAGCTGCAAAGAAAAAAAAAAAGTCACTGGAGACAGGGAGGCACAACATCTCAACATTGTTATGTGTCTGTTTAACTGGTCATAAAGCATCAGCTCTGTGGGTGTAATGGATGTTTTGTTGAGACATCACATTCTTATCGTTCAAACTCAAACCTTCATTTTTAAAAAAAAGAATAGTTCTTCGTGTACTTACAGCAAAGTTCTCTCTGTTTTGTGTCTGCGTGTTATAAAAGAAAAAGAAAAAAGGGAATGCTTCGTATTACTTACGAAGCTTTTGGTTTTAACTGTAACACCAAATTTTTCAGCCTGTAATCCAAAACCCTTCAGGAATCTGCTCATTCAGAAGTTGCGTTTTGATTGTTCTCCATTGAGCTGATTCTTACATTCATGCCCAAAGAGCCTTCGCTGTGTACTAAGGGAAGCGGCATGTACTACTGGTAGAACAGGTCTTAGACAGCCACTTGTGGGTTAATGTCACCTCGAAGGCTTGAGAAGAAGAGAAAGAGAAGTTGATGCTTGTTGGTCACATGTGCATTATGATATTTATTGCTCAGTCCTATCACACAACAACAACAACAACAACAAAAAAGAAAATAACAGTTTTTAGAAAAAGCTGTACTTGCAGCTGTTTTTAGGACCAACTAGGCCATGTGTATGCTTCCCCCCTCCCCCCAGCCTATTATTGGTGTACATCTACAGTGGCCTATACAAACACACTATATACTGCATATCTGGCCCGTACACACATACAGTTTCCATTGAACCTTGACAATTTTAATCTCATGCCACACACTGTGCTTACCCAGGATTTTCAATGAGTCAGTATAGCAGCGCCAGCGGCCTCAGTTAAATGAATCTGCCTTTTCTGTATGTGTGTGTCTGCATGTGTGTGTTTGAGAAAAACAGGGTAAGTATCACAACTTGGTATAAATACTAGCATCCCACTAAGGTGATCCGAAATGTACAATTGTGGACACACATGCTGCTCTAGCCAATGCGGTTGTAGACGATGGCTGTAAGATCTTGCATTTATTAGGAAGGTTCGGGTCTCAATCTCGCCAATCAAAGACAAAGAACGAGAGACTGAGGAAAGGTAGCGAGACAAAAGGGAATGAGAGCGGTTAGCGCTGTTGCTATGAGCTGATGTTTATGTACAACGAGTGACTCCTGTAGAGAGCGTGCACACTGGTAGTTTAGAGTCAGTCACTGAAAGTTTGTCAGTCTATCAGTAGGGTTGTAGTCAAACCATGGGGGTTACTGCAGCAAACTGCATTGGCTCCCATTTCCATCCACGAATTCCCACATCGGGAGAGGAACGAGTATTTAAAGCTTAGTCTTTCCCCTCCTTATAAGATTCGAAAGCGGTTGACTTTTGGTCTGCAACGTTTATCACAAACAGTAAAGATGACAGAATCCGTGGTCCGTGTTACACCATGAGACCATGAATTTGTCCAGTATATTACTTCAGCCACAAAACATCACGTCCAGACACTGTTCTTTGAAATTTAAAAAAAAAGGGCATATCCAGACACACTGTAAAGTCAAAATAGTTTACATGTACAGCTTTGTTTCTAGAAAAAACACAAACAGAAAAAAACGACGTGGGCTCTTTTGTATAGCGTCAACTTCAGGGAATGGGGCCCTTAATGAGAACAGGGGTTAATGCATGCATGCACTGTATATGTAAAATGAGCTGATTACTGTACAGACTGACTGTCAGGCAGCAGACTGTGTCCTAAGAGCCCGACTCGCCAGTAGAACAACCTCAGAGAGAGTTGAATCAGTGCCCTCAGCAGTTCTTCCTCCTCCTCCTTTCGTCCAGTTAATGGCCAGAATTAGCACTTTAAAAAAACGGTGACTATGTTTATATATCCACAGGGATTTTTCATTAAGAAGCTGTCGCAAAAAAGTCTTTGGAGAAAGTGTGGCTAAAAGCTTCTAAAGCTGTAATGGTGGTGGGTAAGCAGCTATGCTTATTGTTGTGTTTGAATGCCACACGTTGTGACACACGAGGAGCTCTTCCAGCTCACAGATACACCTCCCGTCGCGTCAGAGTACCACATGTTGTGGGCTTGTACTCCCCGGTAGGTGCAAGGGGGATCTCCTCGGTGGGGTGGCCCAGCACCTCCTCCCCGGCTCCTGGCGAGCCATAGGGAGGCGAGCCGAAGGCCTCATAGGAGGAGGAGGAGGAGGCCATCTTCTTGTTGAGCAGGTTGCGATTGCGGTCACCCATCATGTGAGCAGCGGTGGGGTCTCCGTTGGCCATGGCGGCCATGGCGAGGGTCTCTTGGCTGCCGGGCTGCTCGGCGCTGCTGCTGCCGCTGCCGTTGCCGCTCATGAAAGTAGAAAGCTTTGGTTGTTGGGGGGTGGTGGTTGACTTGGATGGCCGTCGCTCGGGCGACGTGCGCACAGGCATCCAGCAGGAGTCCGAGTGGCCATACTCGTCACATTCCCGCGTGCACTTGCCAGTCATGGCTACGTCAGGCAAGGGCCGGGAGTCTAGAAGAAGCAGAAGAGAAAACCAAAAGTAAGTGACGCTGCTTGTTTTGCTAAAGTGGGCTATTTAATGATAAAACTAACGATGGTAATGACACACTCTCCTACCACTAAGTGTTTGTTTGTGGTATGTGTTACATGATTGGGCTGTCATGAATTCCTTCATTCGATGCGTGAATCTGTAACTTTTCCCTAATGAGGTCATCAACGCATCTGAATGTTAATGAAGAAGGTAGAAAACAATAGAAACTGGTCACGATGGTTGCCAGGCACCCACTTCCACAGCTAATCTGAGTTCCAATTTTTCATCCCTAGTGAGTCCAATAAGGCTTTTACGGAGAGAGGTTGTTCTCGTTTTCATGCAGAACCCATACCACATGACAGAAAAAAGTAAAACCAAAAAAAAACAGAGAAGACTCCACTGGTACGACAACAGCCCCAAACAAAAAAAAAAAAAAAAACTGTGGCGTAAATCAGAGTTGAAATAATGTCATGCTTCAAAACGCGCTTGTGCTGAGAGGGGAAGGGAGGAGAGGGGAAGGGAGGAGAGGGGACCAGTGATGAAGATAGAAGAGAAGAGGTCAGTTTACACTTTCGGTGTGTTTAAAGATACAAAATTAAGCCTGCTCTGTGTGGGAGTGTGCTTGTGTGTGTCTCTAATAATCGTGCGGCTGAGGATTTTTGAGAGAAGAGAGCACCGACAAGAGCCTGTTTTCTTATTTTGGTGATTGGCAGATGGCAATCATGCTCTGATCTAAGTAGCTTAATAGCTTTGCGTGGCTCAAGCACTCTGATATCCTCTTAAATTCCGTAATAGGAGTCTTAACAAATTGCCTAGCAGGGCGCTGGCCTCAGATTAACCACGTCTACTGCATTATTGTAGAAAGCAAATTATGTGCTTACAGTGCTAAATCAGGACAACAGGTTGGACAGATATCCTTCTGTCAATAGCTACTGTCAGACTCTGTGAAGTATATTAACCCAAATGCAAAGCAGAGATAATGAATTGGTTCAATATGAGACCAAAACCGTAAGGAAGGAAGAAAAGGAGGATCCCGAATGCTTAGACGCTACACAGTGCCAAAGGTAACACAAGTGCCGGTGTTATAGAGATGCTGTGTTAATGTCTTTTTATTCATGACCTGATGGAAAGTATGGAAACCCAAAAATCAAGCAAAAGCGTTGGTGAGTGCAAACCAAGCCAAGCATGCCTTTACCTTTAAGAAAAACAACAACAGAAATGAAAAATAAAAGAGTTTGGACCATGGCTTACTTTTAATGCTCTTTTTCTCCTGTAAAAGACAAAAAAAATTTGAAATCAATCGTTATGCCTTTATGTCACGCATTTTATATATATATATATAGATATTATATGTACTGCAAGAGAAACCTTGAGCAGCCTTCAAACTGTAACTAAAAGACACGCTGACAGCGGCACAAAAAAGTTTTATGCAGAGCAGACACATGACTGAGGACAGAATGCAGCCGAGACAAGGACAGCAAAGAAAGGGGAGACAGATAACACAGAAATGAGGGTCTTCTAAAGTCCTGCTGATTTGGTTTTCGCCTCATCAAACAAATCACTTGTTCCACTATGAAATTTGCCTCACAGCAAAGCATCTGATAGGACTTCAAGAGTGCCATTCCTACGCTCTCGGAAGCTTATCTTTGTTAAAGATCTGTTTGCGGTCTGTTTTCATGTCGGCGTCAACTGTGTAATGCTAGTCAATATATAGACAAAGCCTCAGGGGCGTAAGCACCGCTCGGCAATAAGAAACTCAAATAACCAAATAAAACAAATCTTTGGGTTATTTTTCCACGTCTGAGGGCTCACAATACAAGTATTCACGCCTAATGACTTGTAAACAGCTAAAGAAATTAGAAGAATGGCGTGGAAAATAAGTGAAATAGATGCGAGCGCAATCACAGTTAATGGCGGCTGATGTGTGATGCAAATGATAACCTTTGCTTCAGATCGGCACCGTGTTTTCTTCCTCCCTCCCTTCCTTCCTTTTCCCTGCCTCACAGCTATCAAGGAGATAAGTGGACACCAAGTACTGATTGTCTCGCTCATTTACACATAGGATTGAGCCATTAAGCTACCCACAATGCACAGCAGCTCTCTCGGGGCCCGTTTCGTGGCCCTGCTCCTGAATGCTCATCCAACTGGATTCTCACCTCACTCACATTCAGGCAAACTACTCCACAAAAAAAACAAAAAAACAGCAGGGCAGGGAAGACCACTCGCTACCTCCAGCTCTCGTGGGTAAGCAGTCAACCTTCAGCAGCACCGTCTCTGCCGCCCTGCGCAGTGAGATGCTGAGGTAGTTAGCCAGTGCTCAGTGTGTTGTGCACACTGTAAGGAGGCTGATTTTCTAGCTATGGTCCATTGACTCTGCAGGCTTGCTAAAAATGAAGACATTTCCGACTGAGCTAATGAATTGGGCTGCTACATCAAAGCAAAAATACTTTTTTTTCCCTTCTTCTTCTCTCTTTCTCCCTTCACGAGCGTGACCTCCCCCAGAGGTTGGACCATCAATATGAAACCATTTAAATCCATCTGTCCTTTAGCTTTGGACAAATAAGTGCGCCGGAGCCGGGTTCAGCTGAGAGTAGTTCCTCCACCTGCTGGCTGAGGCCGTGCTAAATGAAATCTAGCATCACGTTGATTGTTTATCTTACCGAGAAGAGAAAGAAACATTATTCCTTCATTTTCCCACTTATGAGCCCACGCTGGGCCGCTCGATTCCTACTCACTCGAAATCTTAAGGATGTAAATCTGAACAATGAAAGCTGAAAAATAAAATAGTGTAATTATTGCCAGTTTGTTTCAATGGAGAGGACGCGCTGTGCTGCTTTCCATACACACACACGGGGCCCTTTCAAGAGCCAATTCAGAAATGAGGTCGTATAGAATATCTTCAAAGGAAAAGCCCTTGAGCCCACACAGCAGAGTCGCTGGCTTTTTGCTACAATATTCGCAAACGTCCTCCGCACCCACGCTTGCTGACCACCATACGACACAATGCAAGTGGGTCAGATCTGGCGTGTTAAAATAGCCTACTGCGACACTGAGAGCCAAACAAGGAGGCCTCTCCATCCTGGGTCACATCCCTAGGGCTCAGACCTTTTATTTTATTGTTGTTGCTTTTTTATATGGGGATCCAGAGCTAGAAAACTAGTGTGGATGCCCACTCTCTACATGGCTGGAAGACAAGAACTTTCAGCCGAGTGGAGGCTGGTCTGCTAATAATGGCCACGACTTACATTCGCTCAAAAGGAGGCTTCTGAAGGATGAAGGGAGGAGTGCCGATAATGACTTGGGGATTGACAAGAGCCAGAAGAGGAACAAAAGTGCCGAGATGCCTCAGTACAAGCGACGCTCTGAGATGTCAGTGCCCCATGCTGCGCGCACATTTTTAAGGGGTATAAAAAGAAGACCTCCTTCAGCTGTGCAGGGAAAAAAGAAGCAGGCTGAAAGTGGGCCAGCGGCTGCACCAATCGTCGAGCTGCGGCTTTTCTTTAGTCAGCCACCCCTATCAGCTGACTAGCTTACACTTTGGGTATTTCAAAGAGCCTACGCTGCTTGGGTACAGTAGCGATTTGATGCGGTGTCTTTAGCGCTTGCTAAGATGTTGCAGTGGTAGTAAAAAACAAAAAGAAAAAAAGAGAAAAAAAACAGAGCGCCAGACTGTCCGGGCATTTGCACACACTTTACAGATTAAAATTTGTTCTGTTTTGTTTATGTCAGAGTAGCGTATTGCGTGTTTTCACTACAGCGTGTCAGCGAGTTCATGTGATGGTCACTTTTTTTTCTGAAACAATCTCTGAGGCTTTCTCATTTCTGGCCAGCAGATTCAACGCAAAAAGCCAAAGCAAGGGATGGAGGGAAAATGAGGAAATAAAATAGAGATGATGCGCCTGCACGCATTTTTTTTCTTCTTTTTCTCTTTGTATGTGTGTCTACTCTGTGTCTTTGACAGACATTGCACTTGGCTGGATAGCAGATAGGGGTCGGAGCGGAAAAAGGAGGCGAAGGACATGAGGGAAAAGACGCAGACAGGGATGATGTAGAGAGCGAAGGACAGGCAGAAAGAGAATAAAGGAGAGTGATAGAGAGTGTGTGTTTGTGTGTGTGCTGAGTATAGCAGGGTCGGGGCATGGGAGAAGGAAAAACAGCAGACTGACTGGAGAAGACAGCATGGCTGCCTCTGGGCCGTCACAGGCCAAACACACTGCCAAAGAGAGCAGTTCAGAGGAGAAGAGAGTAGGGGAGACAAGGGGGAGATGAGGAAGAATTGAGGACATTAGCAAAGACAGGAAAGGGGGGGAGATCGCAGGAGGATAAAGAAAGGCCAGAAGAATAAAACAGAATATGTGGTCTAGTGTAAATAGTTCCTGGTATGCCACTCCATGTCTGTTCTAGCAAGCGCACATTAACTCATCAATCCAAAGCCTTAATTTAGCCCGTTTCAAGCTTCGGATTATTCCTCTAAACAATGAGGTCCTGTGTGCAGCCAGATGCAAGGCGCCACTCACCTCTCTTCTAACTCAACCTAATGTGCTTCTGTCTCACTCTCCTTTATTAAGAAGGCAAAAAAGGAAGGCTATGACCTCCCAAATGCCATTTACGCCCGTCCACATGATTTCAATTTCTCGATTAAGACAAGAGATAAGAGAAAGATTTCAGGGCCTTGAAGAAGGTGTCTGTGTGTGAGAGCAGAGTCTAGCCTAGAAACGGACATGTGATTGCCCTGCAGCCCTGGTGAAAGGCCCTCCCTGTATCGACTTTTCTATTTTTGCAATCACGGCGCACAGTGACGACGTACGTTGCCGGGTGTCGTTGGAGCAGCTTTTGGAAACGCTCTGGTGTCTGTGAGGAAAAATGCAAAAAAAAGAAGGGGGGACAAGTGTGAAGGGGTACGAGGAGACAAGAAAAAGTGGAACAAATGAGCCCGAGTTAGGGATCAAGCATTAAAAAAAACAACAACACCAAAGAGTGC